GGCTGAAAAGCAGGACCTCGAGGGTAGTAATCTCTGAGTTACTACCAGTGCCACGTGCTAGTGAAGCAAGGAATAGAAAGGTAGGTCAGATGAATGTGTGGCTAAGGAGCTGGTGCAGGGGCAGGGTTTCAGGTCCTTGGATTGTTGCGACCTCTTCTGAGGAAGGGGTGACCTGTACAAGAGGGACAAGTTGCATCTAAATTGGAGGGAAACCAATATCCTCACAGGGATGTTCACTAGTGCTACTTGGGAAGATTTAAACTGGAGTGGCAGGGGGCTGTGAACCAGAGCAGCAGGTCAACAAGTGGAGGGGTTGAGGGGAAGGTAGATGTTAGGACCAGTAAATCAGAAAGAAAGGACAGGCAGAGACATGTAAATAAACAGGATGGCACTAATGGGCTGAAGTGTGTTTATTTCAATGCAAGGACTATTAAAGGTAAGGCAGGTTAGCTTAGAGCCTGGATCAGTACATGGGACTACGATGTTGCGGCCATTACAGAGATTTGGTTGAGAGAGTGACAGGACTGGCTGCTCAACATTGCAGGGTTTCGTTGTTTTACACAAGATGGAGAGGGAGGTAAAAGAGATGGAGGGAGCTGCATTACTAATCAAGGAGAATATTACATCTGCACTCAGAGAGGACATGCTGGAGGGCTCATCTACTAAGGCAATATGGGTAGAGCTCAAAAATAAGATGTATGGAGTCACCCTGCTTGCATTACACTATAGACCTCCCAACAACCACCAAAAGATTGAGGAACAAATATGTAGGCGGATTATGGAAAGATGCAATAAAAACAGAGTTGTCCTAGTGGGCGGCTTTAACTTCCCCGGTATTGACTGGGACTGTCTTAGAGCAAGTGGCTTAGATGGGGTGGAATTTGTTAAGCGCATCCAAGAGGGTTTCTTGAAACAGTATGTGGATAGTCCAACTAAAAGAGGGGCCATACTGGACCTTGTATTGGCTAATGAGCCTGGCCAGGTGACTGACCTTTCAGTGGGAGAGCATTTTGGTAACAGTGAAAGTTTTAAGGTAGCTATGAAAAAGGATAAGTCAGGACCCTGTGGAAAGGTACTAAACTGGGGGAGGGCAAATTATGTCAGTATTAGGCAGGAGCTAAGGGTTGTTAATTGGAAGGAGCTGCTATCAGGCAAGTCCACGTTTGACATGTGGGAATTGTTTTAAAGACCCAATGAGAGTTTAGGACCAGCATGTTCGCGGAAGGATAAGGATGACAGGGTAAAGGACCCTTCGATAATGAGGGAGGTTGTGAATTTAGTCAAAAGAGAAAAAGAAGCGTATGTATGATTTAGGAAGCTAAAATCGGACAGGGCCCTTGAGGAATATAAAAAAAAGCAGGAAAATACTCAAGCAGGGAATTCAGAGAGCAAGAAGGGGTCATGAAATGACCTTGGCAAGTAGGGTTAAAGAGAATCCCAAGGCATTTTATAGATACATTAAAAACAAAAGGACAAATAGGGAGAAGGTAGAACCACTCAAAGATAAAGGAGGGAACTTGTGCTTGGAGGCAGAGAATGTGGCCGAGATCCTAAATGAGTACTTTGCATCAGTATTTACCCAGGAAAAGGATATAAAGGATAGTGAGATTTGTGTGGAGTATGCTAGGGCATTTTGAGATCAAGAAAGAAGTGGTGTTGGATCTGTTGAACAGTATTAAGGTGGATAAGTCCCCAGGGCCCGATGGTATCTACCCCAGGGTATTGAGAGAGGCAAGAGAGGAGATTGCTGGGGCCTTGTGTATCCTTGCTAGCCACCGGAGAGGTCCCGAAGGACTTGTCAATAGCTAATGTTGGTCCTCTGTTCAGGAAGCGAAATAGGAATAATCCAGGAAACTACAGACCAGTGATTCTGTGGTTAGGAAGTTATTGGAGAGAATTTTTAGCAATTTGATTTACATACATTTGGAAATTAGGGATAGTCAGCATGGCTTTGTGCAGGGCAGGTCCTGTCTTACTAACCTGATTGGATTTTTCAAGGACGTGACAAAGGTGATCGATGAGGGTAGAGCAGTGGATGTTGTTTACATGGATTTAGTAAGTCTTTCGACAAGATCCTTCAGGGTAGACTTATTCAGAAGATTAGGATGTATGGGATCCGCGGTAACTTGGCCACGTGGATTCAGAATTGGCTTGTCCATAGAATACACAGTGTATTGGTAGAAGGGTGTTTTTCAGGGTGGAGGTCCGTGACTAGTGGTGTTCTGCAGGAATACGTACTGGGACTTCTGTTGTTTGTGATATAGATAAATGACTTAGATGAAAATGTATATGGGTGGTTTAGATGATGCAAACATTATTGGAGTTGTGGATAGTGTAGAAGGTTGTCATAGGATACAGTGGGATATAGGTCAATTGCAGATATGGGTGGAGAAATGGCAGATGAGGTTTAATCTGGGTAATTGTGAGGTGCTGCACTTTGGGAGAGGAAAATGTTAAGAAAAAGTATACAGTTTATGACAGAGCCCTGAACGGCATTGATTTACAAAAGGATCTTGGGTTCAAGTCCATAGTGCTCTGAAAGTAGCCACGCAAATAGATATGGTGGCAAAGCAGGCTTATGGTGTTATTGCCTTTACTGGTTGGGGAATTGAGTTCAAGAGTAAGAATGTCATGTTGCAGCTTTATAAGATTTTGGTTAGGCATTGTTCCCTCTGAAATCAGGGTAGAGAATAAAAGTTGCTCAAAGGTCAGCTTTCATGAAATTCTTCAGAAATCCTGGGAGTCTTTCTGGTTAATTATCCTATAAGACAAAAAAGAAGTTGCATTTATATAAAAAGAGTGCTGGTGGAAGGTGGCAACTGTGGAGACAGAAACAATTAATCTTTCAAGTTCAATGTGACTCCTTCAGAACTGAAGAGAAGGTGGAAAAGTGATTGTTCATTTCTTAAAGAAATGATAGGGAAGAGCAAGTGGGAGGGTGGAGTGTGTTGAGGAAGTTGGAGGAGTCAAAATGGAGGACAGACTGCATGGTCTGAAGTTGTTGACTTCACTGCTGAATCCAAAAGGTTTTAAAATGTCAAAATAGAAAATGACGGTCTGTTCCTCCAACTTGGATTGGACTTTACTGGAATACTGCCCCATACCCAGGACAGATAAGTGAGGATGAGAGAAAGATTGAGATGGCAAGCAACCAGAAAGGTTGCAGTCACATTTGCAGACTGAGTGGGTTCTGCGAAGTGGTCACCCATTCTAGGAGACTGTCTTGTGAGTAACAGTAGACAAAATTGAAAGAAATATAGTTAAATCACTGCCTCATTTGGAAGGAGCCTTTGGGGGCTTGACAGTGAGGAGGTAAAGTGGCAATTGATGCATCCCCTGCAATTACAGGGAAGGTGCCATGAGAGAGGGATGAGTTATTGATGATAAAGGAACGCCATGGAGGGAACAGTCCCTTTGGAATGCTGACAAGGGAAGGGAGCAGAAGATATGTTTGGTGGTGTGATCATGCTGGAGGTAATGAAAATTGTGAAAATGGTATTCCTTTGAATATAGAGACTGTTATGACGGAAGGTGAGGATAAGGGGACCCCATAGCAAAGTGATAATAACCAGATAAATCAGTTGTGTAATGTTGATTGAAGGATTAATATTGGCAAAGACATTGGAGATAACTATGCTATCCTTTTTTGAAAGAAAGGCTTTAAGTTCCTCTAGAGGGGGGCACAAAAGTTCATCAGAATGACTCATCAGACTGTGAATTGTAGAAGTTGAAGTTAAGTTTATATAGATGGGGGAATACTCATGGTATAATTGCTCATGCAGAGACAGTGTGGGAGAGTGGTGCAGTAGTAGCACCTCTGCCCCTGAACTGGAAGATACTGGTTCCAGGCTCATCTGCCATTCTTAAGATAGCATAAAGAGACATTCATTACCGCTCGAGGTTGGTTGCAGAATTAAGAGTTGTGCATTTGTGATGTCTCACTTTGTGAATAAGTCCAATACTGAATAAAGACCTCTGTTTTTTTTCCTTCACTAGCTGCTGATCGGAAGTTTCACAGACAGCACCTCTGACAGTGCTTCACTTCCTTAGTATTGGAATTTCAGCCTAAATTGTTGTGGTTAAGTCCTGGAGCACAATTCAAACCCTCTGGCTAAGAACTGAGAATGCTATTAATTGAACCATAAATATATGCGTTTATAATACTTGCTATCACAAGTCATTCAGATTAGTCAAGCAAAGTTCAGGTTCATTATCTCATTTAAAAAAACTATTCAAATAGTTACTCACATCTTCAGTCAGCTTTTCATAGAATCCCTACAGTGTGGAAACAGGCCCTTTGGCCCAACAAGTCCACTGACCCACAGAGCATCCCACCCAGGCCCATCTCCCTACAACCCACCCAACCCACACATCCCCGAACACTATGGGCAATTTAGCATGGCCAATCCACCTAGCCTACACAGCTTTGGACTGTGGGAGGAAACCGGAGCACCCGGAGGAAACCCACGCTGGCACTGGGAGAACATGCAGACTCCGCACAGATAGTCACCCGAGGGTGGAATCGAACCCAGGTCACTGGCACTGTGAGGCAACAATGCTAATCACTGAGCCACTGTGCCGCACCGATTTTTCTTTTGCATTAAATAAATTGCATTTAATGTAAGTTGTTAATCGAATGTACACAATTGGCAATATCTATGTAAACAATGTATGAACATTGATGTCTTCCCTTTCAAATTAAAGACAATTCAAAATAGCAAGACATAATGGGCTTTGTAGATCACTAGACAATATTAAACTTAACTTGCACTTTATTACCCTGAGTCATACAGATAACAAAAAAAATTGCAGTATCTGACCACTGATACAACTTAAATATTAAACAAAAAATGTGCAGAATTGAATGTAAACACTTATATCTTTTGGAAAAAATTTCCCTTCAAAACAAGTCAACAATGAAAGCTTCCTTCAAATTACTAAAACTAATAACCCTTTGGAGGACATTAATTTAGAGTTCTGAGCAAATTAATGTCTTGAAGTTAATCCCATGTATCTTCACTGTTTCCTCCACTCGCTGGTATATTTGTTTCATAGCCACTGAAGTTTCTGTTAACACCTAGACCCTTAAGAGTAGATATGGAAGCAAACACCTTTCCAAGTGGATTATGGTAACTGGTCCCATGAGCAGCATAAGCAAATTCTTCTAGCCATATAGGAAACTCTTGTTGTGCATCAGAGAGAACTCTTAGGAGAGCACGTGCTATTGGTAAATCTATATTTGAATCAAAGAACGATATTGCTTTGCCAACATTCTCACAACAGCCTGTATGTCCAATGCAATGGACATATCGATAGTTGAAGGCAAATCAAAATTAATAACATGCTGTATGTGCTCAATGTCCAGTCCTTGAGCTGTTATTGCTGTAACCACTAAAACAGGACACTTCCCTGTACGGAAATCACCGAGTGCTATCTCTCTTTCTCTTTGCTCTCGATCTCCATGAATACTCGTCGTTGGGAACTTTTCTTGACAAAGGAAAATAGCAAGAAAGTCAGCCTTTCGTTTGGTATCAACAAAAACCATAGTTCTTTCAATACCTATGTTAGTGGGGATTTCAACCAATTTATTCCTTTTGGAATACTGGTCAACTTGCAGTATGGATTGCTGGACATCACCACCGACACCTCCCACTTGACCAACAGCAAGGAACAAATAATCGGTTTTCATGAAGTCTGCAGCCAACCTTTGAATCTCTTCAGGAAAGGTGGCGCTGAACATCAAAGTCTGACGGTGTTGTTTATGTGCATATTAAATGAGTTGACTAGTCTGCCAGATGCTTGTTTCAACACTTCTTTTAGAAGTAGTTTTATTTTCTTTGTTGACTGCTTTTGATAGCAACACGGTGTAGGAGATACACAGTGCATGTGGGTGACTTAATGTTTTCAATTCCCTGCAAAGTCTCACACCATAAGCTTAGGTTATTCTAACAGCCAGTATTATCTGGGAAAGTTATTATATTTACCTTCCACAGCTGACATTAAAGGCTCAGTGATTCACAATCACAATTATATCTAGTATAAAGTGAGTTCTAAGTTTGTACGTATCTTCAATAGTATTCCAAGTCTTGCTATATACTCTTCAATTCGTATGCAATAGAACTGAAGAAATAACTGCCTTCACATTAAGACTGTTAGAGCATTTTGAGTGCATATTTAATGGAATAGATACAATTATTGAACCTTGCCACAATAACTACATCTCTAAATACTGTATAGAACAAAATGAACTCCTAAAACCTCTGGACATTCTATATTTTAATAGTAGAATATCTTGAGTCATTTTAGAGTAGCGGTTTATGACCTGCAACAATCGGGCTTGTCTTTTTTCTTGTGCATTTATTCTTTCTTGGATGAATAGCATCAAAGAGACTAAGGTTCTTCATTTCTCTTTATGGCGTGTGTCAGGAGCCATGTAATAATCAAGTTCTGAATGCTCTTAAGAGACAGGAAGGTTTGGTGGGGGATGTAGGGATGAGAAAGTCTTGTGTTTGTATAGCACCTTCTATGACCTCAATGTCCAAAAGACCTATATACTTAGTTAAGTACTTTTGAATTGCAATCACTGTTATGTGGTAGAAAGGAGACAAAGAGAATTGGTATTATCCAATTTGAAATTCAGTGTGCTCTGAAGTGTGGTTATTTACCTTGCTGAATACTGCAAAGCTATCTGTTCAGATAAATTAAGATTAGAACTAGGCTATTTGACTCTTCAAGCTTGCTCCACTATTCAATAAAATTATGATTGCTCTGTTTGTATTTTGAATGCCATATTCCCATCTTCCCTTGAATCTTTGGTTCACTTTTTGAACAAAAATCTACCTACCTCGGCCTTAAAAAATCTCACCGCTGTCTGAGGCATAGAGTTTCAAAGTTTCACAACCCTGGGCGAAAATAAGTCTGCTCATCTCTGTGCTAAAAGGTTGACTCCAAAATATTAAGAAACAAAAACAGAAATTGCAAACAGAAACAGAAATCAGTTTTGAAGAAGGGTCGCTAGACCCAAAATATTAACTCTGATTTCTCTGCATAGATGTTGCCAAACTGTTGAGTTTTTCCAGAAATTACTGTTTTTGTGTTGATTTCCAGCATATTCAGTTCTTTCAGTTTTTTCCAGATATTAAGACATTGCCTCCAGGTCTAGACTGATCCACAGCAGTAAATAACCTTTCGCTCTCCACATTGTCAAGATCGTTCGGGATCTTACAAATTTCAGTCGTCATCCTCATTTGGCTTAACTCCTGTTCCTAAATTCTAATGAAAGTATGCTCAGTCTGTCCAACCTTTCCTGATTAGACAGCCTGCTTATTCCAGGTATCAAGCCAGGAGTTCAACCCTGATTCAATGGAGAATGTAGGAGGGCATGCCAGGAGCAGCACAAACACCTGAAAATGAGGTCAACCTGGTGAAGCTACCAAACAGGACAACTTGCATGCCAAATAGCATAAGCAGCAAGTGATAGTCAGAGTTAAGTGGTCCCACAACCGATGGATTAGATCTAAGCTCTGCAATGCCACCATATCCCATTGTGAATGTGGTGGACAATTAAGCAACTCACTGGAGGAGGAGACTCCACAAATATCTCTATCCTCAATAGTGGAAGAGTCCAGCATACCAGTGCAAAGATAAGGCTGAAGCTTTTGTAGCAATCTTCAGCCAGAAGTGCCAAGTGGATGATCCATCTCGGCCTCCTCCAGTGGTCTCCAGCATTACCCCTGATGAAGGGTGTTGGCCTGAAACATTGACTTTCCTGCTGCTTGGATGCTGTCTGACCTGCTGTGCTTTTCCAGCTTCACATCTATTAACTCTGGTTTTCAGCATCTGCAATCCTATTGTCGCCAGTCTTCAGCCATTTTGATTCACTCCACATGATTTCAATAAACAGTTGGAGACACTGGATACTGCAAAAGCTGCAGGCCCTGTCAACATTCAGGCAATAGGCTGAAGGCTTCTGCTCCAGAACTAGCTGCTCACCTAACCAAGCTCTTCCAGTACAGTTACAACAGTGGCATCTGCCTGAAAATGTGGAAAATTGCCCAGATATGTCCTGTACATTAAAAACCAGGACAAATCAAACCCAGCCAATTACCGCCTTATCAGTCTACTCTTGATCATCAGTAAAGTAATGGAAGGTGTAATTAATAGTGCTATCAAGCAGCACGTGCTCAGTGATGCCCTATTGGGTTCTGGCCAGGGTCATTCAGCTCGTGACCTCATTACAGCCATGGTTCAAACATGGACAAAGAGCTGAATTCCGGAAGTGAGGTGAGAGTGACAGCCCTTGACATCAAGACTGCATTCATCCAAATGTGGCATCAAGGAGCCTTAGCAAAACTGGAATCAGTGGGCACTGGGGGCATAATCTCCAGTAATTGGAGTGATACTTACCGCACAGAAAGATGGTTGTGGTTTTCACACTCGGTCGTCTCAGCATCAGGACATCTCAGGGTAGTGTCCTCGGCCCAACCATCTTCAACTGCTTCATCAATGACTTTCCCTCCATCGTAAGGTCAGAAGTGGGAATGTTTACCAATGTTCAGCACCATTTATGATTCCTCAGATGCTGAAGCAGTCTATCTTCAAATGCAACAAGATCTGGACGCTAACCGAACCCACGACCACTTCCATCTTGAAGGACAAAGGGCAGCAGACGCATGAGAACACTGCCACCTTCAAGTTCCCCTCCAACCCACTCACCATCCTGACTTGGAAATATATTGCCATTCCTTCAGTGTTGCTGGGCCAAAATCCTGGAATTCCCATCCTTAATGGCATTGTAGGTCAACCCACAGCAGGTGGACTACTTGGTTCAAGAAGGTAGCTCATCACCACCTTCTCAAGGCAAACTAGGAACAGGCAATAAATGCTGGCCAGCCAGTGATACCCACATTCCAAAAAATATGAATAATAAAAAAAAATACAGTCTGACAGTGCAGTACTCGGTTAGTATTGTGCTAGTGCATTGGCCTTGATTGATGTGCTTAAATCCTGGAACATGAAAACAGCTTTCTGAGCCAGAGGTGAGAGTGCTACAGACTATGCAATGGCTGTCACTTAGGTGCTCAAATCATTGTTCAGAGACCACTGTGCCTGAAGTTTCAGTTGAGCTTGACCTGGAACAATGTTGTAGTGAAGATGCTAAGATAGAATAAGAGATTGAAACAATGCTATTAGTCTTTTTTGTAGTTGGCCAAATTATATTGTGCTAGGATCGCGATATGAAAGACTATTAATCAACCCAGAAGGTCCCCCTGGCAATAGCATCGATTGTTTTCGTTTATATATGAGGATGTGTTCCATGTTTAAAATGTTAATTTTATGATGAAGGATTGAATGTGAACTATCAGTACTTGGGTCAAAATAAGTATTTTTTCAAAAGCTCTTCTTGAGATTTTTTTCACCGTCAGGGGGCCTTTTATTCTCACAAAATCGGTCATTGGTGAGATGCAAGCATACAGTAATATTATCTTCTATATTTGTATTGGGGTGTTTGTGCTCATAGAAGCACGATTAAAAGAGTATATCAAAATCCTCATTAATTATCAACCCCTCAATGAACTTAAAGGCACAACAAATTTCTTATGTACCACAGTTTTTAAGTTGGCAATAACTGATAACTATTTGCAGGGCATTCATTACCTGTGAGTTTCAGGTTTTCCAGGCTTCTTTAACAGGCTTTCTTTGACAGTTGCACCCTCTTATGCCATTGTCAGCCTCCCTTGGCAGCCCCCCTTCTTCTCCCCTTGGTTGCCCCCTCCCTGTCTCCTTGGCAGCAACGACCACCTCATGTAAGCACTGATTTCGCTCCCCACCACCATTTTTCATCCATTTGATTCTCTCAGCTTTTCTAGCCACCAGTTCTCTTGGCTAGTAAACTGTCTGTTCGTCCCACAGTCTCTCATGCCCCAATTTCACCAGCCTTGTTCACTGCTGCTCCTATTTTCAGGATTTCTCAGTTCCACATATGTGGTGACTTTTCTCTGATTAGTTGCCCCGTGACTCATTTCTTCTGTGATTTGGCCACTACTGAAGACAATTTCACCTGCTGCCCCTATGTACTTTAGAACATGGAACAGTACAGCACAGTACAGGCCTGTACTTTAGAGTTGGCCCTTTACCAGTGCTTCCTCTTGCAAATTGTTCTACTTTTACTCATACCATCCCCATAGCTATCTTTTATATCTCTAGGACTGCCTGTCTATTGAATGACTTCCTTTTGAACTGAAAAACCCACATTTGACTTTTTTATTTCCTTAGAATAATTCTGACTGTTTGCCCCAGGATCAACTTTTCTGCATTTTCTCCATTCCTTGAGCATTTTCTTGTTTGTGGCCAGACTAGAGCACTGTACAGTTTACATACAAATTCTTCTTGGGTTGCATTGTACTGTTTTGATGATAGAGCTAAAAAATGTATTTATTTTGTTGATCATTACTACACATTAGTTTCATCAACTTTATTCTTGTCTACTTCAACACCATTCATGGAACATTTGTTACTTATTTTACTTTCTGAAAGTAATACTTACAATTTTTGGAATTAAATATTTTCTACCACATTACTGCCCACACACCAGTTTGTCCAACTCATTTGCTTGTTTTTGAATAGTCTCCTCTGATTTTTCTTCACCACACTCTAAACCCCATGCAATTTGGTATTCTCAGCAAATCTAGCCATATCATCCTTCCTCACTTTGAGTCCAGAGTAATATTAATATTGGCTCAAACATCTAAAGTTGGG